GCTATTTTTTTTTTTTTTGGTTGCAGCCGTCATTGTTGTTTGGTGGGCCTGGGCTGGGTTCGAATCCACCACCTTAAGTGTATGTGGCTGGCGCCTTAGCCACTTGAGCCACAGGCGCCGAGCCGAAGCACAGAATCTTAATCTTGCTGCTGTCTCTATGGTGTAGATCTCGCATGGAGTACAACATACAGATTTTCACATCCAATTTTGAAAGAGACCCTGACAAACTAGCAAAGAGCACACACAGAGGTTAGTCAGGCTGTTGAAGGGGCAATAGCCAGATTATGAGTCTCTCCACTGGCAAGAACTATAACCATGGCAGGAAATTTCAGGAAGGCTTATTTTGGCTTGATTTAAAGGAAGAAACTTTATAAAAGACAGCTGACCATCTCACAAAGCAATACTTTCCTTTCTTTACCACTGGAAGTCAGAAACAGATTGTAAGGCTATGTAAAAGGATGCCTGGTCTATCTTGTGGATAAATTTAGGTGAAAGAAAAACTACCTGCACACTGTCCCTACTTAACTGTGCCACCAACCAGTGAGAATGTTGTGTTAGAAGACATGGCTAAAGGACCTCAGAGTCACAGCCTGGTGGATCTTTTTCTAGATCCTCAAGAGTTTAGAAATTCAGCTACTTTCCCACTTTATAGTTACCTATGGAGTTTCCATTTAATAATACCTGAAACCAAGCCTGGAAATCAAGTACACAAGTGACAGAAAGACAAAAGAAAAGGAAAGGGAAATATTCCTATTTATGACACGATCTGTAGAAAAAGTTATAGTAAACTCTTTCATTGGACACATTAAACTCAGTTGAAATTTGTTACAAAACTTCACAAGTTTACGTTTTGAGGGGTCAGACTTAAGTTACCTCTTTGAAAGGGCTCTCAGTAGTTCATCAGTAAGAATAACAAAATTGCGGAGAAACATGTGGCTATTAGTATCTCTCAGGTGCATAAGTGTCCCTCTGCAGGAAGCCACGCATCACTATTTTAGGTAGTTTTTACTGATAGAGCCAATTCTCATCAAGCCTTCTAGACCAGTTTTTTGCCAAGCTCAACACAGTGTCCCCAGATACTTTCCAACACATGAATTCTCTAACACTGCACAAAAATTTCCTGTTAATAGTGTTCTCAAGGCAGGAAAAAGGAAGGTGACAACTGCAGTCACTTCCTAAAAATTCTAATGTGCTCTCTAAAAGAGTACCTGCCAAACACTCCTGGCCTGCGCCAGCCAGGCACTCAGTGAGCAGCCTGTAACATGACTTTCTGATTGCACGGGAAGGGCAGAACTGGCATTGCAGCTTCATATGCTGTCAGCAACACACAGTTTTTCATTACCTTGTTCAAATTTGAAATCAATGTAAGAATATTGATTCATTTCTTTTCTTTTCTTCCTTTTCCCACTGGTTTCTGGTGATAGCTCCTGCCATTTTTTAATGGCATCAGAAAAGGCCTAAAAATTGAGAAAGGGAAAGGTTACCTCTGTAAATGGAGAATCAGAAAATGTGAAACACAGCCAATCCCCAAGTCTCATTTGGGACTCATAGTTTCAGCCATCTTCCCTGCATAGCTTACTAGAAACAGGCAGTGGCAAAATAAACAGGCAGCATTTTGTTATTTTCATTTTTTCTGACTTTTATATGTGGCTACAGTACATTTACTGACAGATTAAAGGATGACTTAGGAAAATAAAAACTGTCTGTTATCCTTGTGTAAGCGGAGTTTAAATCACAGGACAAAGGGCTGGTAAGTTATACTCTGTAGGCTCATCTTGTCTGTCACTTCTCTGGTCAACACTGCCTATTTATTCCACTAACTTCCTTGCCACATGCCTCTTTGATACACTTATATCCACTCCTACTCCCAGAGTACAAGAGAGTTCAAAGTTCCTATACTGGTAATAGTCCCTTTTTCTTTCAGTTTCTCCCTCTCTTACATCTTTCTATTTGGCATGTAAATATACTACTAATCTTTGCCATCTTAAAAAGAGAAAATATTTCCTCCCCTGATCTCGCTGGCAGCCCCTTTTTCTTAGTCCTCTTTGTAGCTAAACTTATCAAAGAAGCCATCTAGGTTTTTTCTCACCTCTTTACCCATATGAGCATTAGCTTTCCAGCTGCTCCTGATCCAGCATCCATACTCACCCATAAGGGGCCATGTCCACCATCTACATTCACTTGAGTTTCTCCCAGGCCCTACTCAGTATGTTGGCAAAAAAAGTTTCCCAGATTGAAGTCATGATTCTTTCCCTCCAAACCAGTGTTTTAATAGTATTCCTCACCTCCATAAATGATACATCTTCCATTCTCCTTTCACTTAACTCCTACTTGGGTCTGTGATTAAATGTCACTTGTTCTGGGAGGCTCTCCAGGGAACTCCTTGGTCTCCCTAAGATTGCTTCCTGTTTCAGTCTTTCAAAGACCCTGTATTTCTCTTTCAATGTTTTTACCACAGTTACAATTACATATATATTTGTTTGCTTCTCTGTTTTGTGTCCCACTAGACTGGGAGCCTCTGGAGGACAAGGAATGTTGCCAGAGCTCAAGGTATATCTTTGGCAACCTGCACAGTGTACATGTAATGCTCCTGTGAGGAAAAACGAATAAAGGGGATAGGTGAGCTGCCAATAATCACATTCTGAAACTGTTTATTCTAGACAACTATCTATAGATTCCTGTGGCGAAAAGATAAGAAAGCGTATGAGGTGCAGAAGAGAAAAGATTGTCCTTTCACCTTAATTGACCTCTAACCCTTCCTTGTGGATTTTTCTTCTCAGTATCTCATTTAATTCTCAAAATAATCCTCTGAGGTAGGTATTATCTATTTTACGGTAGAGAAAAGCAAAGGTTAGAGAGGAAAAAGAACTTGTCCTAGCTCACACCTTAGCAAAAGTTAGGATTTATGATGAGGCCAGTCTTGGGTACTAAAGCTTCTCTCTTTGACATCACAGATATATTCAGTGAAACCCATCAAAAGCTGGCAAAATTCATCTTGCTACCTTTCTACCTCCCTTACCAACTCCTTCCGTGGCTGCAGAAATGTGGCTTTTCATTTCTACTCTTTTGCTTTCTATTTTTTCTTTTGGAAATTTCCACTACCTGTGGTGTTTTCCACAAACCCTTAGATACTAATCTTAAAGCCACATTTTTCTAATCAGTTGTAAGACAAATAATCTCTACCAAATTTTACCTAAAGGTAAACACCCCTGAACTACTGTTATTTTGCAAAAAACCCATGAAAGAAAACAGAACAAGCTATTTTAATTTGTATTTTTAAAATGAATTAATTAAAGCGCAGGTATCAAGAAATAGGCTAGAATGTGAACTCAGAGCTCCTGAACACAGCATAGTGACTCCTGACCACACACCTACAAGGGTCATTGTAGGTGACCCTACAATGGCCCCATTTAAATACTGTTTCTAGGTGGCAGTCCCAAGTAACACGAACAAAAACTGGTACTTGTGAATAAATTGTATCTTAAAAAATGTTGACAATAAATTAAAGGAGTCTCCAACAACTTCCTTATAATAGTTATCTTAATAGTCATTGCTTAATATTGATTAAAGGCCTGAGAAGGGACACAAAGAAAGGGGCTTCAAGGGAAGTCTGGAGGGCCCATAAGAATGTGGGTATGAGGCTCGGCGCCTGTGGCTCAAGTGGCTAAGGCGCCAGCCACATACACCTAAGGTGGTGGGTTCGAATACAGCCTGGGCCCACCAAACAACAATGATGACTGCAACCAAAAAAAATAGCCAGGCATTGTGGTAGGCACCTGTGGTCCGAGCTACTTGGGAGGCGGAGGCAGGAGACTCGCAAGAGCCCATGAGTTGGAGGTTGCTGTGAGCTGTGATGCCATGGCACTCTACCCAGGGGGACAGCTTGAGGCTCTATCTCAAAAAAAAAAAAAAAAAATGTGGGTATGAAGAAACCTCGGTAATCAATGACCAACAGAAAAGGGTAATACTGCCTGGAGCTGCAGAGAGGCCAATGAAGAACTTGCAGCCAACTTCCAATAGAAAGCATTTTTATCTCTGCGGGCCTTTGTATCTCCCATCTCTCTTATCTCTTCTCTTCTGTGAGAGGGACTCCCTTCCAACTCTCTTTGGAAGCACTCTAAACTTTTTCTTTGTTCTTCTTAAATAAAATTTCTCTTTATAACACTGAACCTTACACAAGTTACTTTGCTCTCTACTCATACGGCCTGTGATGTTCCAGTTTTATTTCCAGTTTCCTTTTCGTTTTCCTTTCAATTACCGCCATGCCTCAGTTGCGCTTTCTAGCTCAGCTGAGTATTCGAACCCAGTCAACTGGGTTCAGGGAACTAGGCCCTCTAACCCCTAACAGACCTAGTTAAGTAGACCAGATAAAATAAGATTATAGAATGAGAATTCCTTCTAGGACCTATGCACCCCAAAGGCATCATGGTTACTTTTCTTGCCTCTTGGCCTTTGTATGTAATCAGTGAAAAACATCTTTCTTTTAGGACTCTGCTCAAATGACATCTTTCTTTCTTCCTAGTGTTCTCAAAAGCTTTATTTTATTTTGAGACAGAATCTTACTTGGTCACCCTTGGTAGAGTGCAGTGGCATCATAGCTCATAGCAACCTCAAACTCTTAGGCTCAAAAGATTCTCTTTCCTCAGCCCCCAGAGTAGCTGGGACAACAGGCGCTCAACGCAAGGCCTGGCACTATTTTTTAGAGACAGGGGTGGAGGGGTGGTGTCTCAGTCTGGCTCAGGCTGATCTCGAATTCTTGAGCTCAGGCAATCCACCTGCCTTGGCCTCCCAGAGCGCTAAGATTACAGATGTGAGCCACTCATCTGGCCTCAACAGCTTTATTCACCTGCTTTAGAACACCCATCACGCTGTTTAAAACACCTGCCCCTCCTACCTCCCATTTTCCTAACCAGACAAAAATTTTTTGGAAGGAAAGCTATTATATTTTGTGTTTGTAAAGGAAAATTAAAAAAATCTCAGGAACACCCCTCCCCCCCAACTTCTTATGTAAAAGAGAAGGCCTGCATAAGGTGTAATCAGGCAACACCAAGTGAGCTGTTAGCCAGCCGCCCAGGGGAAAGGCCTCAGGTATCTATGGAGGAACCTCTAAAGGTCACTCACTAGAAATTCCTAGCTGGTCTACTGTAAGTAAGGACCTGCGAATTGTAGCTTTAGGTCTGCCAGGGCCTAGCTCCTAAAATCAAAGTCCAAGTCCACACTGACTGCTGATTCCAAGCTTATCCTCTCAGATGCAGAACTGAAATCAATCAATCCTCCATCCACTGAGAGACATCAGTACAACTGCTTCTTTGCTCCTTTTCTCTTCAGACCTTATGTTATATAAAATGTAGATTTCTGAACACTAACTTGTCTCTGAACACTAACCATTTGCCTCACTGCCCACCCTGACCTCCTCCTTTTTCTTTCATATTCCTTTCCCCTTAAATATTAAATTTCCAAATCGCTCTTTCAGAACACAGGTCACAGGTGCTTCTGTGGTATTTTTCCTATGAGTGTCCTCAAACTTAATAAACCTCCACTGATTGAGAATTGCCTCACTTGTCTTGGGTGTCATGTCCTATTGCTCCTCAAGTCTAGACTAAAACTTATCAGGAGTTAAATCCTCAAAAGCCCAGCAGGAGGAACCTTGGCAACAAGAGATAATTCAAGAGCAACTTTTCTGTCGTTGGCCTTTCTCCCCTCAGCTTGTTCACATTCATAAACCAAATAGCCATCAAGGTAAATTAGTTCTGAGATTCAAGGATACCGACTGGTAAAGAAATGTTTTTTCTTTTTTTGAGATACAGTCTTACTGTTGCCCAGACTAGAGTGCCCAGTGCCGGCCTTAAACTCCTGGGTTCTGGTGGTGTCCGTAGCTCAGTGGGTAGGGTGCTGGCCACATACACCAAGGCTGGTGGGTTTGAACCTGGCACAGGACAGCTAAAACAATGACAACTGCAACAACAACAACAAAAATAGCCAGGTGTGTGACAGGTGCCTGTAGGTAGTTCCAGCTACTTGGGAGGCTGAGGCAAGAGAATTGCTTAAGCCCAAGAATTTGAGGTTGCTGTGAGCTGTGACACAACTGCACTCTACAGAGGGTGACAGCTTAAGACTAAGTCTCAAAAAAAACCCACAAAACCTCCTGGGTTCAAGGACTCCTCCTGCCTCAGCCTCCTTAGTAGCTGGTGAAGGAGGTCCCTAAAAAGCAAAAAGCAGCACTTGTCCATTATTTAGAAGAGGGTCTCTGAAAAGGGGGAGCAGCCTGAGGCAAACAGAAATTAACAAAACAAAGCTTGGGGCCAGAGAAGATTAACATAAAAATGAACTTATTTTAAAGGCAGATAGAACCACAGGGCAGACGTCCCCAGTGCTAAGGGAGAAAGGGGGTCATGAGAAGGTAGGGGAAGTCATCTAAAGTGAATGGTACTGTGTCTGAGACTAATTTTAGAATTAC